CCTTAAGAGTTACAGAATAACATTCCTTCATTGCTACTTGATCCCCACGAATATCAATAATTTCGCTCCCGTCTGGACTCAAGCACCTTATTACTTGATGCAAAGTCGAAGGGATTCCTTGGATCCAGTGGATCCACCCTTTTCCCATCAAGAGGTTATAAGATGGGTGGACCTTTACTACAACAAAGATTTCTATCAACTCTCTTTTTGTAGGAAACACTGGCAACTCGACCACTCCAATAGGCCACTTTTTTTCCATCAAATCCTAACAGTGGATTCCTTGTGGGCCTAAGCTTCTTTGAGTCTATCCTAAGCCGTTCAAACGCCAATTTCGTCATAACGTTTATGTTGCTTCCTGCGTCAAGCAAGAGTTTTCAAACCAAGTAGTCTATGACCAGCAGATCCTCATGAGGAGTTTGGATTCGTAAGAGATCCGTTCTATCAAATCTTATTTGAACTGAACTGCTTTCCTAATGTATCACATTGACACTGCCCACCATCCTCTTCATATGAGCTTGACAGAGGCACGCTTGGAGTAATTCTTCTAACTTCTCAGCTGCCTCAGGTCAGTCATGAATTGTATTTATAATACAAATTAGTTAGGCATTATGATAGTTCGACTATTGGTTTCTCTTTACTTGCTCAACAGGGCGGTTTTGCTCTATTGTCGAACCTTGGACATAACTAACGAACTCCCCCTTTGCTATCAACGTCTCAACCTGCATTTTTAAGTTCCTATATTCATTAGTCAAATTTCTGAAATCACTATGGAATGTACAATGCTTGGACTGATCCCTTTGTTCAAGTGGTGGTCTGATCGGCTGAGGCTGGCGGAACTTATCTTTATTTTCCTGGTACAACTGTACCAGACTGACCTTGAGTAGAGTGACCGATTCTTCTTCCTGAGGTCTCTTCTCTGATCTCCAAGGGACCAGTAGTGGTGGTGCAGCTTGTTTCTAACTGATCTTTGCCTTAGTCTTTTCTTCTACTGCGACCATTGTCGTTTTCCTTGCGTTGGCCGCCTCTTCCTCTTCCAGACGAACAAAACCTTCAAATCTCTCATTCAGCTCATCCATGGTTCGTGGCGTATTCACCACCAGGTTCGTGGCGAACAACATTTGACGGCAACGTCTTCTCACTTGCTAGCGACGGTGGCCATTGAATCGGAGGAACGTCTCGTCATTTCATTCCGACTCTCAATTCCGCATTTTCTAGTCTCAAGGTTTCAATCAAGCTCATTAACTCATTAAGTTTCACATGCTACTCAGTCTCCTACGGATGAGAACTTTCACCTCCGATCATAGTTCCTGATCGGAGTAGACTCATCAACTGCTAAATATCGGTTGGATCTGAATTTCCTTACCGTGAATCTGTCAGATCTGGCCGTCATATGGTCAAATTTTGATCTCTATCGTTTAGATCCAAGTCTCCTCTAATTACACAATCTGTATAGATCAGACCTCGATCTTCACATATCAGATAGGACCTCAATCTTCACATATCAAACCTCGATCAACACAAATCGGACATCAATCTTCACAGATTAGACCTCAATGTTCTGGAAATTTATCAATTCACACATATTGTATATAAAGATTGACCAAATCTCTCCTTCGTTTTCCACAGACGGCACCAATGAAAGTAACAGAAAATCGTTCTCTCAATATAGAAGGCAATTTCTTACACTTCAAAAACAACCAACCCCTTTTTTCCCTCTTTTTTTCCCTCTATTTATAGAGTTTTACATATATTCTTGAAGCTTCTTCCTTCAACATCCAAGCTAGACCGATCCTTTGGGCTTCCCCTTTTATGTGGATTCATTCCTTTTTCCTTAAGATTGGGCCTGGAGATCATTCTTGATAAGAATTGGGCTTGCTGAGCTGTCATCCGACTGGGTTATAAGCTTCTTATGGACCCAGTTGTCTGTGGGACGGGTTGCACCCGGCCTAACTTATTTTTGGTATCCTCAAATCCATATCCCCTTTTTTTTAATCTATTTCTTTGATTTATGTTTTCTGCATTATTTTGGTTTTTTCAGCTCTCAGTGTTAACCCCAAGACTAATTTTGACGATCACAAAACATTAATTGTGTTTTGAAAACTAACATTTGCCTTGAGAACATATAACAGGTTAGTCATTGGAAGTCTAAAAGTGAAGTGGAAAACAAGGAAAGGTAAAGCCAAGCGAGATACATTCTATGCGCTCCAAAGACAAAAGAAAACAAGTCATTCACTTCCAAACTCCAAAGATGAAACACGGAAAAGAATCAAAACCGGCAATTCAAATGGGGTAGATAGGTTTGGTGAGCGCCATAGATTCAAATGTTAAAGTATTTAATGAATGCAATGAAGCTCACATCCTAGGATCATTCATTTCTCATATCATGATTTGAATGGCATTATATACTGTCCAAAATCTATTTGAAAGCCTAGAAACAGATAAGGAAAATGAAGGCTCACATTCCAAGATCCATAACAGTGAGATTGGTTTTGGCCAAGAGATATTTTGGCCGACTGAACATGATGGTCCAGCCGACCAATTAGGGTTTCACAGAATATATAAATGTATCAGCCGACCGAAGAACACACAACAGCCGACCGACAAGAAACTTTCATGAAGTCCCGAGAGCAGTGACTTTTAACCAACGTTTCGGCCGACCGACGATTAGGGATCAGTCGACTGACGAGAGGCTTTCAGCCGACTGATGATACTCCATCAGCTGACCGATACATAGTCAATTTCAAATCAAACGGCTACATGTGAACTTGGATTATTGACACATCATCTCCAACAGCTATATTAACCTCCTCTCTCTATAAATAAGAGCTGCAACATGTTCTATTATACACATCAATTTAGAGCAATTTGAAGAGCATTCATGAACTTTATTCTAGAGCATTCAAGGCCATTACTTGATCATTCATTCCCTCATATCATCTTAGAGATTTGAGCTTCATTTCATTCATAAACTTACTTTAATTGTGAGCTTACAATTGTAAATCTATCTTGAAAGATAGATTCAATCTTGTATTTCATTTACATACTTTGCTACAAACTTGTAAGGGTTGGTGTGACCCAAAAGAAGTCTAAGAGAAGGGTGTTCTCGTAGCAAGAAAAAGAAGCAAGGGCTTGCTTCATGTGAAGGTTTGCTCTCCACCATAAAGGACAAACTCTAATGAATTGGGAAGTTTCAAGAGGGATCTTGAGACGAGAAGTAGGAGTTTCCAAACCTCGCTAAAATCTCCGTGTTATTGTTTGCAATTTTTATCCCTATCTCTCTTATATTTATACTTTGAACTATTATCTATTTTTATTGATTATTACATAATTGTTAATCTCTAGTTGAAATTGTAAATTATTTTTAAAAATTGGCCATTGACTCTATTCACCCCCTCTAGAATCAATTAGTGTTTAACACTCAGAATTATAAATTTTGTAACAATCAACATTATTTGATTATGAAATATGTTGCTAATCCGACCTTATGTGGTTGCTTTAATTATCTACTTGAGTCCGTGTATTTGGTTCTACCATTTCAAATTGGTTGCTTGCCTTTGTTGCTCCTCCCCGCCCGAACAAACACTGTTAACGAACGGAGAATGAATCTGACAAAAAAGTTGATTTCAAATATACAGTGAATCGAACAGAGGAGAGAGTGAATTTTAGAGAAATATTTGCAAGTATTTGTTTTTAAGCGACGTTAGTAGTGCCTCAAAATGTTGTCGTTTTAGGCACAGGATCCCCATCCTTCAAATTGGTTGCTTGCCTTTGTTGCTCCTCCCCGCCCGAACAAACATTGTCAACGAACGGAGAATGAATCTGACAAAAAAGTTGATTTCAAATATATAGTGAATCGAACAGAGGAGAGACTGAATTTTAGAGAAATATTTGCAAGTATTTTTTTTTAAGTGATGTTAGTAGTGCCTCAAAATGTTGTCGTTTTAGGCACAGGATCCCATCCTATGATTGAAGGGGATTCAGATCCCAAATAAACAACATCTCAATGTGTCGTAACAATATTCATTCGCGTTTTAATAGTGTTGTAGTCTTGCATCTCAATGTAATATAAATATTGTATGAATTTTGCTTTCAATTGCATGAGTATTTGTTTCACCCTTGATTTAAAATGCACAAAACTATCCAATTCATTAGGGAGAATCTGAATGCGGTCGAGCTCCTCTCAATGTCTCAACATAGATATCGATTTACATAATGCCTTAGAATAGCTCAGAGAGTAGACCTTCAACAAAAACTATCACTGAGAGATTTTACTTGAATACAATGAAAATAATTCCCTTCTAGTATATTTTATACACAATACCCCTTGAATTATCATATTTTGTTTTAAAATGTCCCCCCCATATCTGGTTATTTTTCATTAAATAACCATAGTGTCATTTCTTTTTTAAGTACACTTAATTCATTTTCTTATTAAAATAAATTATAAAAAAAAATTCATACTAATTTGACGATATATTCTACATTGAATTTGCATAAATTTACCTTTAATTGTTTATTTTAAAAAATAATTTAAGTAATTTCTTAAATTTTCATTAATATATTGTATGAAAAAGAAGGTATTTTTTATTTAATCAATTTATTAAATTTTAATGAAAATATTGCATGAAAAAGAATGTAAATTTTTTTATGGTAAAAAAGTTTAAGCCAAGTATAATTAGTTTTATTAAAAATAATAAAATATTAATAATAAATTAATCATTTTAGAAAATGGTAGTTACAACTCTATTTTATTTTATTTTATTTTTATATGATAAATTGGGACTAATAATAAAATTAAGATAAATAGTATAATTAACATATAGATATTAGAAAAGATAATAAAAATAATTTTAAAAAATGAGAAATTTAATGAGAAAAGATAAAATATTTTTTTGTAATGGATTTGTGCTTAATTACATCAAATCATTAGTTGAAGAATTATTTGCAAAAGAACAATAATGAAGGTTTTTTTATTTTTTTTTTGGGCACTCTGGTTTGCTTTATGTTTTAAAATATTTAATTAGGAAATATGACTGGTAACTTTGAGTTCTCCATATAAGAATCGATTTCTAACAAGGTACTCAATAAGAAAGTACAAGTACAAATCATATTCGACTTTTAGCAATCAAAATGAAACTCACTCGTGACCATAACACAAGTAATTTCCCCTGTTTTTACAAGGGATGGCATTCCCAATCAACATTTGTGACCTGTGACCACCTTCAGCAAGGTTTTAAAATTTTCAGTTGAGCTCCCATTTGGTCCAACAGCCTTAAGAGCAAGGTCTCTGTATACTCCGATTCGCTCCTTCAATTTCTTCCCTTCTTCATTCGAAAAAATCACTTCTAGAGCGCGCATTGTGCCACTTTTCGTGAAAATCCCACCTTCCACCCTCAATCCAATTTGCCATTCATTTTCAACCATCCATATATTCAGCGGCTGGTCACCAAAGAATGGCCTCCCAATCATAGGCACGCCGGCTGCAATGCTCTCCAAAACCGAATTCCATCCACAGTGCGTTATCAAAACTCCGGTAGAAGCATGAGCCAGGACTTGTACCTGTGGTGCCCATGGCACAACTTTACCGGTCTCACTATTCCTCTTCAAAAACCCCTTTGGCAAATGGCTTGTCATGTTGTCTCTAAGAGACCAAATAAAGGGTGTACCACTTGCTTCAAGTGCCTCAGCCAATGCCACTATCTCTTTAGGTGAAGGTGTTGCCACAGTTCCAAAGCCAATGTATGCCACGGACTTGGCCTTCTGCTTGTCCAACCAAGCTAGGCAGCCATGCTCATCCGTGTTCGACCTTGGTGGTGGGGATGTTAGGTTGAAGGGCCCGACATTGAGGAACTTTGGGAACTTGGATTTGAGGTCTTTGATGAGGGTAGGGTCTAAGTCTTCGAAGGAGTTTATGGTAATGGCTGTGGCTCGACTCAGAGCTTGTCCCATTTTATGTAGCATGATTGAGAAGGGTGATTCTAAGTTTCCAAAGAGGACTCCACTAGGTAAGTCACCAAGGCGTACTGCAGAAAATCCTGGAATGAAGCTAAGTATTTCGTTCTCACGACCTGCCACATCTGTACGTGCATTGATATGAAATCAAGTAGTTGATTAGATGATATACGTAATAAAAGCAGTTCTTTTTTTTTTTTTTTTTTTTTTTTTTTTCTTTTCTAGATAACATAATCAAATATGCTCTAGCTCCAAATGTTAGAAATTCGAATATATATATATATATATAGAGAGAGAGAGAGAGAGAGAGAATACACTTTTCGGATGGGCATTGCTAGGTTTTAAGTTTCACCAAATTTGACTAAATTTATGGAGTACAAAATTTGTCTTAACTTTTGTTGAATTAATAAAAAGATTAAGAGGGGTTTTTAATTGTTGAATTCTGAAATGGAATTCTTTTTTCAAATTTGGTTGGATATTTATTTGACCGAACAGTATTAATTGGTCAAGTTAATTTGCAACATACAAGAAGAGAAAATTCCACTTCCTTAAAATGATATTGGCTAGGTTATTAATAGTCTTTGATTGAATATCATTAGATTCATTACTCATATCTAAATCATTGAATTGTGCGAACATGGTTCTGACTTGAGAGGCTCAACAATAATCCAACCTAAGTCCTTGGTCGAAAACTTCTTTTATCAAAGGCTTTGGTCAAATTAGTCGTCCTTAAAATTTTGTACACACGAGTTATTTAGAGAATATAAACAGAAGACAACATATTAAGAAAAGGAAATGGAAGCAATTCATATATATATATATATATATATATATATATATATATATATATATATAACTAGAATTTGTGTAGTAAATCTTACCAGTAGTTCCAACAGTTTGCCTGATAAGATCAGTGTAAAAATGCACGGACAGAGAACAAGCCCCAGACGTCCAAAGTGGCAGCCACGGGACCCTCATCTCCACTGCCATCTCCGCCGCAAACCACAGAAAACAATCCACCAACAAGCTGCTGATCCGCCTTTCGGTGTCTGCCTCAGCCGCCTCCACTCCTCTCCTAAAATTCTCCGGCGCCACCTTGAGGAACAACTCAATTTCCTCCTGTGGCTTTCCCGAAAACACATAGCCCTCAGGCACGCCATCGGACACATCATAGGCTATAATGTTATCCGGTGTTGGCACCGAAAACAATGGTTGGTTGGATTTGGTTGTGCTGAAGAAGGAGAAGGTCACGTCCGGTGCAGCGTCGGCTAACCTCCGGACAAGGCCCAGGAGGGGACCTGCGTGTGTAGAGAATGGGAAGGCCAGTACGGCGACATGTTGGTTCTTGGGTGAAGAGTTGATTGTTGACATGGTCTTTTGGATGCTTGAAAATGTTTGTGATTTCTAAGTTTTGATAAAAGGGCAAATGCAGAGACAGGAGACAGGAGACAGGAGAAGTAGTGTATTTTGGTTAGAGTATAAATAAGGCAAATAAAAGAAACCAAGGTAGAGAGACTCCATAACAGTGTCCAATTTTAGAACTATAAATAGACTACAAACAAAAAAGAGAAGGGTTTGGTTGGTGGTTGGTCACTTCTTACTACCCCTTTCAAGAAGATGTACATTGGTTGATGGGTTATAAGGGGGTTGGCACAAGTCCAACACCCAGTCAATTTGGACAGTTGACACATGGTGTGGTTCCTACGGTTAAACCATTAAAACCAACAATGTTAAGCTCTACCCTAACAAGAATTATGAACTCTCCCTAATTAATTTGTTTTGAAATACGTAAAAATCCAAATGATTCAAAAACCAAAAATTTAAATGAATCATTTTTTAATCTAATAATTAAATATTGAGAGTCCATCATTCTTATTAAGATTGAGTTCTCTTAATAACATTACTCAACCACAAATCCTTCAATAGTAATATCTAAGATTAAGAGCAGAAAATATTCTAAAAATATATTTTGCATATCACTTTTACCTTTATTTTAAAAAGTGTGCTATTTTTTCTTTTCTTTTTTGGTACTCACACTCTTTCCCTCCAAAGAATTATTTGTACCCAAACGGAGTCACTTGAAAAAAGTGTCATATTATCTCTTTTATTTTTAAAAAAAAATGTAGAAAACACTCTTCAAATTACTTTTTGCAAGTCTTTACATAAAATAATACTCTAATGTCTATTTTACCCTTTCTAGCCTTCCTAATATGTTCAATAAGGTGGGTATTATGTGCCGATCAACTATATTTAACCCTATTTAAGATTTCTGTTGAATATATATATCTATATATATATATATATATATATATATATACACGGATGAATATAAGGAGTGAGAGAAAGGTAGTTAAATGAATGTACCAGCCACGTCTCTTGGGTTTTTACCAACAGTCATGCCTATTGGATTTCTACGAAGAGACATGCCTATTGGATTTCTACGATGAGACATGACTTTTGGAACTAAAAGTCACAACCTCTGCACCAAGAGCCATGTCTGTTGTATACACCCTTACGTACTTTATAAATAAGGGTGGCTAATTCAGATTTGATATACAAAAAATATAATCCTTACTATATTCTCTCCTACTCTATATTCAGTCATTCTTACAACAGTTTCAACAGAGTGTTTAAGGGAATTCTTCCGTATTGCTAACGGCAAATTCCAACTTTGTTGTATCCTGAAAGTGTTTTGGTACAGAACACGTTAGTAAACTCAATTTGAGTGGGGGAAAATAACACTTTAAGGAAAGTGAATACACACCTCAAAGTCTATATTTTGTTTAACATCAGTGTGCTTGAGAAGGTCTGGTTATCTCTAATAATTTCTGGATCAATTGTTTCAACAATCTTAAAGTGTTATTTGGATGGAGACTATATCAGACAGTATTACGTTCAAGGTTATGAATCAAGACTTTGTGAAGTTAGATCGATTTGATAGATCTAACTTTACCCATTGGAAGGATAAATTAATGTTCCTACTCACTATTCTTAAAATCTCATATGTTCTGGATCCAAATCTCCAACCATTCCCAGAGCCAACAGATAAAGATACAGAGAAAATGATTGAAGATAGGAAGAAACGAGATGAAGATGAATTGGTTTGCAGAGGTCACATTCTGAACACACTTTCAGACCAACTCTACGATCTTTATACTCCTATGAAGTTTCTTCGAGAAATTTGGAATGCATTAGAATTCAAGTACAAAATTAAGAAACTAGGTACGGATAAATTTTTAATATTTAAGTACTTTGAATTTTCAATGGTTGATAATCTTTCAGTTTTAGATCAAGTTCATGAATTACAAGTTCTAGTCACAAAGCTTCGGGAAGTGAAAATTGTACTTCCAGAATCCTTCCAAGTGGGGGTTATCATTTCAATGTTGCCTTATAGTTGGAATGATTATAGAAAGAAACTTCTGCATAAGACAGAAGAATTTACTTTGGAAGAAATACAAAAGCATTTCTGAATTGAAGAAGAAACTCGAATTTGTGATAGGAAATATTATGTTGTAGATTCTTTCAAAGTGAACTATGTGGATGGAGGCAAATCAAATAAATATCAAAAAAGCCTCAAGTTAAAAAATAAAGGGACTTTCAAAAGGAATCATCCTTATAAGAGTAAAATTCCTTCTGGACCATGTTTCCATTATGGAAAGAAAGGACATTTTATTCATGATTACAGGTACAAAAAGTACGAAAAGAAAGAGAATGTTAACAATGCTAATGTAATGGAAGAGAAGATTTCAGATCTTGTTGCTATTGTGTCTGCAATGCAAATTGGCATAATAACTGAGTTAAACATGGCAACAACAACTAAGTCTTTAGATTGGTGACTTGATTCTGGGGCTACTATCCATGTTTGTAATGATAAATCACATTACAAAACTTATGAATCTGTAAATGATCAAGAAGTTCTGATGGGAAATCACAACTCTGCCAAAGTTTTGGGAAAAAGAAATGTTGAAATTCATTTTACTTCAGGAAAGAAGTTGACATTGCAAAATGTTCTTCATGTCCCAGAAATTAGAAAAAAATCTTGTATCTGCAAATTTATTATGTAAGAGTAGCATTACAGCTGTGTTAGAGGCTGATAAGTTAATTCTGTCTAAAAACGGAATTTTTGTTGGGAGGGTTATGCTTGTGATGGAATGATTAAACTAAGTATTAATAAAATAAGTCATTCTGCTTATATTGTTCGTTCTTCTTCTATTTGGCATGCACGTTTAGTACATTTAAATTTTAGATCTTTAAAGTATATGTCAAAGTATGGTTTTATTTCTTGTAGTGAAATTTGCATTGCAATCAAAAATGACTAAGAAACACTTTCCTAAAGCCAATCGAAATTCACAACTATTAGAAATAATTCATTCTGACATTTGTGAATTAAATGAAAAATTAACTAAAGAAGGAAAAATATATTTTATAACTTTTATTGACGATTGTTCTAGATTTACTTATCTATATCCAATGGCTAGTAAAGATCAAGCTTTTGACATGTTTAAACGTTATAAGGCTGAGATTGAAAATTGAAAGGAAAAGAAAATAAAAATTCTTCATATTTACCAAAAAAAAAAAATCTTCATAATGATAGGGGTAGTGTGAATATTTTTCTAATGATTTTTCTGCTTATTGTGAAGAACATGGAATAATACATCAGAAAAGTGCAACTTACACTCCACAACAGAATGGTTTGGCTAAAAGAAAAAATAGGACACTTGTTGATATGGTTAATTCTATATTGTTGAATGCTAAATTACCTATAAATTTATGGGGTGAAACTTTACTTACTGCTTGTCATGTACATAATAGAATTCCATCTAGAAAAACACATATTTCACCTTATGAGATTTGGAAAGGAAGAAAACCAAACTTAGAATATCTTAGAGTGTGAGGGTGTTTAGCCTTTTATAGAATTCCTGATCCAAAGATAACTAAATTAGGCCCAAGAGGAATAAAAAGTGTTTTTGTTGGTTATGCTGAAAATTTTAAATCCTATAGACTATTAGAATTAAATTCTAATGTCATTATTAAATCTAGAGATGTTGAATTTATAGAAAATAAATGTTTTCATGATTTTTTGTTTGAACCTATTCAAAGAAATCTAATAATTTGAAATCTAATACATCTCTTAGAGACAAAACAAAAACAAAAAAAAAAAAAAAAAAAAAAAATGATGAAATGACTGTACGTAGGAAAAGTAAAAGAATTAGAAAAGAAAAGGCTTTAGATCCTAATTTTATTTCATCTCAAGTCATAATATTTCTAATAGAAGGAGATAGAAATAAAGTTCTTAATAAAATACCTATTTTATTGAATATAGAAGATGATTCTAAAACATTTTTTGAAGCAATGGCTTCAAGAGATGCAGCTTTTTGGAAAGAGGCTATAAATGATGAAATAGATTCATTGTTGTCAAACCAAACTTGGATTTTGGTTGAATTACCACAAGGATCAAAACCGGTGAGTTGTGAATGGGTATTTAAGAGAAAGTATAATACTGATGGATCTATTCAAACCTTTAAAGCCAGATTAGCAACCAAGGGTATTAAACAGAAGAAAGGTATTGATTATTTTGATACTTACGCACCCGTGGCTAGAATTGCATCTATTAGAGTTCTTATGGCTTTGGCTTCTATTTGTAAAAACTGCATTTTTAAATGATGATCTTGAGGAGGAAATATATATGGAACAACCAGAAGGTTTTGTCCTACCTGTAAATAAAAGGAAAGTTTGCAAATTAGTAAAGTCATTATATGGTTTAAAATAAGCACCAAAGCAATGGCAATTTGATTATGTGATACTATCATTTGATTTTAAGCATAATAATGCTGATAAATGCATTTATTCTAAATTCACAAATGATTATGGTGTTATTATTTGTCTTTATGTTAATAACTACCTAATATTTTGGAACAAATATGAGAGGTATTTCTGAAACTAAGAAGTATCTAACTTCATATTTTAAAATGAAAGATCTTAATGAAGTAGATATTATCTTAGGAATTAAAGTAAAGAAACATGAAAAGGGGTATGCATTGTGTCAATCTCATTATATTGAAAAGATACTTCTTAAATATAATTATTTGAGAATTAAAGAAGCTAATACCCCTTATGATTCAAGTATTAAAATGCTTGAAAATTTTGATAGAGCAATTGCACAGCTTGAGTATGCTAATGTTATAGGTAGTATGATGTATGCTATACATTTTACAAGGCCAGATATAGCATTTGTTATGTACAAACTTTTTAGGTACACGAGCAATCCTAGTACAGTTCATTGGAAAGCAATTATTAGAATCCTTGGATATCTTAAGGGAACAATGGACCAAGGACTGTTTTATTATGATTTTCCAGCAGTACTAAAAGAATACTCAGATGCTAGTTAGATTACTAGTGCGAGTGATAATAAGTCCACGTTTGGATGGATATTTACAATTGGTGGAGGAGCCATTTCTTGGGCATCTAAGA